AGGACCACATCAGTCCAGTTCAGAACCAAGAACCAGGACCACATCAGTCAAGTTCAGAACCAAGAACCAGGACCACATCAGTCCAGTTCAGAACCAAGAACCAGGACCACATCAGTCAAGTTCAGAACCAGGAAATATGCTCGTAAAACCTGGATCAGTCTTCCTGAAGACGTGACAGAACCCATTTCTGAATGTTTAAATCCAGATGAAAACATCTGTTTAACTGATGGAAACTGGATGGATTTGATCTGCTCCCTAAACTTTTCATCTGTCTAATGCCTACTGTTTCTCTTTATTCCGTACTTTCTTCTGCGTCTAACTACTCCTAAACCTATTAGCCTATTTAAAAAAATAAGCTATCAAAATGTTCAGCTATCTCAGGACTATGCAGCTCTGACTTTTGGTGCTCAAATCTTTTCAACTTTTTAAGATATTTTACTTTTTCTGCCTTATTCCTCTCATTGAAATGAATGGAGGAAAAAATATGGCTCCCTCTGCTGGTCACTGGCATTTTAGCCCCTTCAAATGTTCCTGTGTATTCCTATAGAGCTCTTTGGCCTGTGGTGTAGCTCAGTGGTCAAATCTTTCAAATTATTCCTCCGTTCAGCCTTTTTTCCTCAACTTTTCAATTCCAATTCTTTTTCAGCTTTTCTTTGGGTTCTTCTCCTTCTTCCTCCATTCACCACTAGTCATATATATAGCCATATTCTAGTTTTTCTAATTACTTCTACACCTTTCAGCCTATTTCAACAATTAAGCTATCAAAATGTTCAGCTGTTTCAGGACTATGAAGCTATGACTTTTGGTGTTAAGATCTTTTAAACTTTTTAAGATATGTAATCTTATTCCTCTCATTGAAATGAATGGAGCAAAAACAAATATGGCTCCCTCTGCTGGTCACTGGCATTACGGCAGCCTGTGGTAAATCTCAGTGGTAGAGCGATTGACTACCAATCCAGAGGTCGCTGGTTCAAATCCCTCTTGTACTTGGTGATTTTCAGCTCTTTCAAACGATTCCTCCATTCAGCCTTTTTTCTTCAACTCTTCTCACAGCTTTTCTGCTGACACAGCTTTTTTTATTTCTTGTATTTCTGCTTTTAAACTCTCTGTAAAGCTCTTTGAATATTCTCAGATAATAAATGGACTCAGTCTAACTGGTTCTCTGCCCCCCCCCCCCCAGACCTGAGCCTCGGGGCCTGGACCGGCATCGGCTTC